TCTTGTCTCCAGGACCTTGGCACTGCCATGTCTCTTGGGGACTGATTTTTTGGCCAAAATGCCCGTGCAAATTTTTGTTGACCAAGGTTGTGTAAAGTTGCCGTCGGGGGGGGGGGGGGGTGGTTGCACTTTCTACATTCTCCCACTGTACTGTCCCCCCTTGCCACCAGTGTGCGGGCCTTGACTAAGGTGTATGTGACGGTTCCACCTGGGTCACAATCCTACAACCCCTCAGGCTGTGCAGACCATTAAAATTGCATTCCCCGGAGGCAAGTATCCTCTTGTCTCCCTCCAATTACTTTTCGAGGTCGGACGAGTAGGTAGGTGCCTTGACGGCCATGTCGGCGGGCCAGGACCCCTTTTTACAGGTCCTAAATTCGGGGCCCTCGCCGATCGTCGTTCCAGCTGGTGCCGTTTTAGCGGAAGCTACCCCGGGCCCCCCCTCCCGATGATGCTAGGCCGGCTGGAGAGTTTGTGGCTGGTATGTTTCACCAAGGGGAGGACCGACGCATCATGGATCGATGTGTTGTGTCATGAGTGGCTCCACGAACTCATCGTGAGGTTCACCAATGTGTTTAGCCAGAGTAAATTCGATCTCGGTCGCACCACTCTCCTGGAACAATCACATAGATACGGGAAACTCGACCCCTATTCGGCTAAATTCATACCACTTTAGCCCGGCGGAAAAGGATCATGTCCGCTCCGCAGGTGACGAGATGTTGGCAGCGGACATTTTCTCCCCATCCACTAGCCCTTGGGGTGCCCCCTTTGCGCTAGTCAAGAAACGGGATGGGAGTCTCCGTTTCTGTGTCGACTTCTGTAAATTAAACAAGATCTCGGTGGCTGATGCATATCCATTGCTTCGCATGATGATTCCCTGGACGCTCTCTCGGGTGCGCGGTTCTTTTCGACCCCAGACTTGCTCTCGGGCTTCTGCAGTTGCCACTGGACGAGGCCTCTAGACCCAAGACAGCGTTCCGCACACCCCAGGGGCTGTTCCAATTCAATCGGCTTGCTATGGGTCTCCATTCGGCCCTGGCCACCTTCCAGCATCTCATGGAGATGGTCTTGGCGGGGCTGCAGTGGAAATCTTGTTTAATCTACTTGGATGATGTTATTGTTTTCGGCCGTACGTTTGACGAGTACTTGCAATGCTTTGAGGCAGTGTTCCTCAAAGTGTGGGCCGCGGGCTTGAAGTTCAAACCACAGAAATGTCATTTATTGCAACCATCGGTGAAGTATTTGGGACACATTGTGAGTGCGTCAGGTGTTGCCATGGATCCGGAAAAGACAGCTTGTGTCCGGACGTGGCCGACTCCTACATCTGTCGTTGAGGTGCGTAGCTTTGTTGGCTTCGCATCGTACTATCGTCGGTTCGTCCGCGATTTTGTGACAATTGCAAAGCCACTGCACGCACTCTCTGCCAAAGGTCAAAAGTTTTGCTGGGGGATAGAGGAGGAAGCCGCTTTTGTGGCACTTGGCACGGCCTTGGCGGATGCGCCGCCCCTGGGGTATCCGGACTTCTCCAAACCCTTCCTCCTCGACACCGATGCCAGTGACACGGGCATTGGGGCTGTCCTGGCTCAGGTGGTCGATGGGGTTGAGAGGGTTATTGCCTATGGCAGCCGTGTTTTGTCTCCCACTGAACAGAGATACTGTGTGACCCGGAGGGAGCTGCTGGCCACAGTGTTTTTCGTCCAGCTGTACAGGCCCTATTTGTATGGTAGGCGGTTTACCATCCGGACCGACCATGTGGCCCTGCAATATTCCCTGAGGATTGACCAGCCTTCGGGTCAGCTGTCCCGCTGGCTCGAGGTGCTCCAGGAGTACCCCTTCGATGTCATCCACCGGAAGGGGACTCAGCATGGGAATGCGGATGGCCTTTCCAGGCTGCCTACGGACGGCGGGTGCGCTTGTGCCCTGGGTTCTAGTCGCGGCAAGGCCCCAGTAGACACCGCGGCCCAGTTGGTTGCATCGGCCGAAGCGACCCCCCCCCTCCGGGTGTGGTGTTGCCTGTTGATTTCGGCCTGGGACTCCCCTGAGAGGTATGGTCTAAGTTGCAGATGGAGGATTCCTCTGCTGAGGCTACGACGCCGTGTTGGGCCAAATGCCCGGAGCTCAACTCCGTCGGCTGCCCCGGTGATCGCCGTGCATGACGGCTTCCTCATGCATTGGGATGCACAGTTGGAACGTTATTGCGTGGTTGTGCCCATTGGCCTGCGAGGTAAATTGACCCGAGCCATTCACAAGAAACTTATGCACCTGGGCTACAATGAGACCTTGTTGACCCTTAAATGGGTCTACTATTGGTCACGTGTGGAGGATGACGTGGCACTAATTTTGAAGGGTTGCCATGACTGTGCACGGAGGAAGGCCCCAGTTGGTCAGGATCGGGCCCTGCTGCAGTCCATCCGGGTTTCTCGTGTCAATGATTTAATGGCACTCAACATTCTGGGGCCATTCCCCGTATCCCAACGGGGCCACAGGTACGTCTTGGTGTGAGTTGTGTACCTCACACGTTGTCCTATGGTGTGGCCTCTGATGGACCAGTCGGCCTCGTCCATCATTGAGGCATTCGTACAGGAGTACGTTGTTGACAAGGGTGCGCCGGAACAGCTCTTAACTGATCAGGGGCGGAACTTTTCTTCTCGGGTGCTCAAGGAGTCTGCGACCTTCTTGGCACAAAGAAAATCTGCACCTCGCCTTACCACCCCCAGTCCAACGGGATGGTAGACCGCTTGAACCGCACCCTCACATCCATGCTGTGCCACCACGTAAGTACGTCCCAATCGGACTGGGACCTGTTCATTCCGGGGGTTCTGGCCACATATAGGTTGGTACCGCATGCCTCGACAGGGTTCTCCCCTTTTTATTTATTGTATGGCAGAGACCCGGAGCCCCTGATGCACGTCCAGCTGGACTTGGGGCCTTCAAAAAATGCTCACCAGTGCCTGCCCCAATGAAATTCGCACTCGACTGGCTGCGCGAGTCACGGCAGGCGACCTTGGATAATTCGGCCAGCCGGCAGGCGGCTAACGAGCGCTTGCCCAAACACCAGGCTGTCGGCCCCCAAGTACCTGTTGGCACATCACCTTAATTGCATCGCCCTTGGCAGGGCCCTGTCGAAGTCATAGAAGTCCGCCGACCGCAGTGCATCCGTATTCAGTTGGGCCGCCGCCACTGGTTTGTGCACCCATCTCGGCTCAAGCGGGTTGTACTGCCTGGCCTCACTGATTCATCCCCACTTCAGGAGCGGCCGGCGATTGATGCGTCCGACAATCCGGGCCGCACGGGTTGTTATGGCGCGAGCAATGCCCTGCCTGTGTATGTGCCTGCAGAGCCCCCGCCAGTAACAAACAGTGACACCTAACCAGGCGGGGGAAGCGGGCCGGCATCACGCACACGCTCACGGGGCGTGCGGATACTGTGACGGCCAGTGGGGCCATTTATTCGTCCCCTGCCTTCCTTGGACACTTTTACGGTGTCCCATGTGGGGACTGTTTCCAAACTTTAACTTGTACCATGCTACCTAGTAATGGTTACAGCCGGTGTAGGCTAATTCTTTTTCATGGGGGGGGGGGGGGCGGGGGGAGGGGGTAATGTAGAAGAGTAGTCGAGGACATTACATCACGCTCACCTTCTGGTGCGGTGACGTCCGGTAGGATGACGTCACGAGCAGTGACGTCATGCATGGGGGGCGGGGCGATGACGTCATGTCTCCGTGGGGTACTTAAGCTGGAGCCCGTGACGTGAGCGGGATTGTAGCAGTAGCCCGGGAACGTGAAGGGTGGAAGTTGGGACCCAGGGGTAGGGCTGACGGGGAATAGGGGAAATCTAGCATGAGGGTTAGGAGTGGCTGCTTTAGCTATTCGGCCGATTTTGGTAGAGCCCTCGGCCGGCACAGTGGGAAGAGCCCGGTAAGTCACTGTGTTAGGAGTCCCAGTACCCTATCCCTGGGGAGAATTATATTAGCCCTTAGCCCGTAACTGGCATAAGCCCCTAATAGTCTCTTAGCGTAAGCCCCAAATAAACCCTTGGCGTAAGCCCCTAAGAAGATCTGCCTCTGAGACGTCTTTGCACTATAACACATGTACAGTGATACACATGGTCAGCCACAGTGATAGCCCAGTGTGGCTCTGTGAGCCTCTGGAATTAACACCAAATCCCAATAATCCTTGAGGTGCCTTAGAAGGGATATAGCAGCCTCAAGCAATATTGATGAATCCTAATGCTGAGTTAGCCTGGCTATGCACCTCATGCATTAACAATTAACCTTTTGCATTACAACGGTGATGTCTTCTGGCTCTCATCTGATGATGACATCCTTGACCGAGAAACCTCCTCTACTAATAGATTCATCTGCTACATTGGCCAATGACATCCTCGCTCAATAATTATACACTCGCACCTCCGATTAGCATGGTTGGCTAAGTGCGGTGGGAAACAAGTTTAACATACCCGTCTAGTATTAATAGGGCACCGTAAGAGCGATTTACACTCATGTGTGTGCACTATACATTAAAATTTAGATAATTCACTACCTGTGTAACTGTAACGTATCTTATGATATGAAGAGTGATAAAATTATCACCTGAGCCTGGAATATGGACACTGAACCCTACGACTTATAAAAGTTGCTCGAGCCTAAATGTAACAGCCTGGAATAGGAATGATGAATCCTGACATTCCAAAACGAGACTTATTCTGCTTCTGTGAGTCTCAGGAATTAACACTGAGTCATATGCATCATGATATGACACTGACATTGATGCCCTCGCTTTTGGATGAGAGTGAACGAAGTGCTATTAGCAATGGAGGGTTGTGTTTGTTGTGCAACAATTGGAGACTAAGCTCAGCCTAGACTCACAGCACATGAGTACATTGACTATACTGGGCATCAGTTAGAACTGGGCATTGAACCCAGGACCCTAGTATCTGGAATCAGTTGTTTCAATAGCCAAGGTCTCCCCTCCACACTGGGGCAGGAGTGATGAACTCACAGACGAGAGGGAGCAGTCTGCCCATGACTCTCTCAAGGGAGCGGATCGTGGGGGTGTCCAGTGGAGTAGGAGCTGGGGGCGGAGACTTCTTAGGAACCTTTCCCCTGTGACAACGATTAGCAAAAAACAATCAGCATCACCACTCACACGCAGCATCACCACTCACACGCAGCATCACCACTCACGTACAGCATCACCACACACACATCATTACCACACAAACACACAGCATCACCACAGACACACAGCATCATCATACACACACAGAGCATCATCACACACACAGCATCACTAGACACACACACAGATTCACCACAGACACACAGCATCATCATACATACACAGAGCATCATCACACACACAGCATCACTAGACACACACACAGCATCACCACACACACACACACACAGCATCACCACATGCAGACGTTTAAAATGCAGCATCATTAAATGGAACCTGTGTCCCACACACAGCTCATGCTCCATAAATAGTCCTTGTGCAATATGCAGTCCTCTATTTATGCAACATTAGCATGGTAAAATAACAGTGTTTACCGAAAGAAAACGCATACTGATGCCTATCTGAATGCAGAGTCACACCATCACCCCTCACAGAAATCTGCTCTTATTAAGACGCTCATTCATTGAGCTAAGAAAGTGTCAGATGGTGATAGTCTGAGAAGTGAAATTGAACATGTTAAAGAAGCGCTGCAAATTAACGGTTACAATGATGCACAAATCAATAGGGCATTGAACACTAAAACCAAATCAAGTAAGAGCACTGAAACTGCCCAAGTAATTAAAACGATTTAAATACTGTACATTGCGGGAGTAACTGATAAACTAGATAGATGTTTGGAAAAACAAAACATCCGAGTCAGATTTGGCATGGTACATAAAATACAGAAAATAATATCTGGTACAAAAGATGTATTACCGAAGCTATCAACAGAAGGTGTGTACAGGATTAACTGCACGTGTGGTAAATGTCATGTTGGGCAAATAGGACGAGACTAAAAGAACATCAGAGAAACATTAAATTATCCATAATACAACTGTCAGCAGTAGCAGAACACGTGTGCAAACAAGGATACTCAATCAATTTAATAATCTTGAAGTTTTGTGCAAGACTAGCTACTACTGGCCAAGACTAATTAGATAATCTATCGAAATTGAAAGAAATCAAAATTCTTTAACTGTTCGGATAGCTTCCGCCTTAGTGCTGCGTGCAAGCAAATCTTCAAATAATAAATTATTTAAATGCATGTCTACAAAGGGCAGCGTACTTCAGTAGGGATTACCGTTGATAGGGCTATTTTAATAAACACAATAGACAGGAAGGTCAAGTTCAAAGGACTCGCATAATGCACATGCATAATGTATGTTGCCTTAGTAACCACGCCCCCCGCCCACACATTGTGCGAGAGCGCAGCTGCGTGGTCAACACATCTACGCCTCTATATATGGAATAAAACAGTAAGATTTCTCCACAAATCTGGCTGTCGCTTGATGAAGCTATTTGTAATTACTGGTGAAACGTCGTCCTCAGATTGTAAATGTTGTGGCTTGGCTCGGCTCTCCAACACACCGGTGTGCTGTACTAGTCACGAATTGGCATGTTCTGTTTACGTGACAACCCTTACTATAATCTTTGGTTCTTTCGGTAAAGTCACGTAGGTATAAAATAAAATAAATCACGACGTTTTGGGCGCAAAATAAGCGTCCATCATCAGGTGGGAAAGCATGGTCTGCTGCTGACGCAGACTGTTTTAAAAGGTTTGAAATAGGTGTAGCTCAAGGGTTATAAAGCAGTGACCGGGGCTAGTTATGTTAATGTGAGAAATTAGCATGTGATTGTAAGATATGAGAGCGGCCTCCTACGACCAGGGCACGGAAGTGGCTATGTTAATGTGAGGGATTAGCGTGATGTTAATTTGAGAAATTAGCATGTAGTTGGCTGTGTCGGGTGGTGGTGGGTTTTAATGACACATTTATATATTTACGTGATGTAAGCCAAAAAACTCTATAATAGACTGCATGGTCACACGCATCCAGTTTGTAACACCCGCTCAATATAAACAGCCGATGTTCCACATACAGATAATCACAAACAGCACCAAGCACACACAGCAAATTGTCCATATCACAAAGAGCATCATTACACACATATGTATGTGTGTCTATTTAGCTTCTTTCGCACCGAACTTAGCCAACCATGCTAATCGAAGGTGAGGGGAATTACAACAAACTAAACACAAAGCAGTTCTAAAGAAACGAGCTAGGATAGTATCGTTTAAAGCAATTCATCAGAACCACCTGATGTTAACTTTAATGTATGCAACAGGGATTCAAATCACTATCCAAGTAAACTACAATCACAACGGTGATTAAAATCACTGTACAAGTAAACACACAGCTGAAGGCTCCCACACTGCACTGCCTCGTGGTGCTGGTCTGTGATGGTTGAGGTTCTGTACCTGCGTGTCTCCTCCAGGTGCCCCTGTGGGATACAGAGAGATACGTCACTGTGATGCTGCCTCCATTCGCTCCCATGGCATTGCTCGAGTTCTCTCTGCGAGTCCCATAACCGGAATATGAATCCCGCATCTTGGCTAATTACCCCGTGAAGGCCAAATCTGTATCCTTGGTTAATAAGTGAAGCGATCTTCTCAAGACCTGAGCATATCAACCCTTTAGCCAGGGTTTGAGTCCCCTTCAGCCTTGGGCAGTGCTCATTTCCCGAGGCTTGAAACAATCTCTCAAAATGATAAGCAATGTCTATTTCTGCAGAGGAAATTCATGTCTGTATATTAAAAGTGCTTGAGAGTGGATATCAAACACCTGATAGCAACAGAGCAACTGTTTATAAAAAGTCGATTAAATTGCATAACATCAGGTATTTAGAATTGAACTTTATCTGAATGTTATCTTCAGGGTAATATGTGGAATTCTCTGCAGAAAATGCGATAAGGTACATAATTAATTTAGATAGATAGTGGAATTTCAAATGAAGCCACTATCGTGGTAAAGGGAAATTATTATTGTTATTGAAGCTGTGTTCTCATGTTCTGAGCATCTAAACCCTAGGGCCAGAAGCCTCTCTACTGCTGAGGGCTCTGTCAAACTGGGGCACTCCCCCTGGCTTCGCGAGCGATCTACCTTCAGGAACGTGAGCGAGTCCCTCTCCTCCTGCAGAGTGCGGAGGCGCGCGGCTGCTTTCTGCAGCTCGCTGATCTCGTGCTTGTAATGAGCGATGTTCTTGTCGATCTGGGACAGCAGCTCCTTCTCCTTCAGTTCTGCGCGATGTAAAGCCACCCTCTCGTCCTCATTCAGTGCCGTTCTCAGGCGGGTGAACTCAGCTTTGATTCGCTCCTTCACCCCAGTCATAGATCCCTGTCGAGACACACGGATTCTAATGATTAACCATTCCCCATTAAATTTCGATTTAAAGCTTTCGTGACTGCAGGGATTCATATTCTTGGTTCTTTCGGTAAAATCATGTAGAAGGGAAATAATAAATTAATAAAAATAAAATAATACAATTTTCATGACGTTTCCCCTCTAGATGAAGCAGTCCCCCTCCTTAACTTCCTTTCGTTCGTCTCTCAAAGTTCACCCATTCCCTTCCTCTCCCCTCGCCCCTCCCCTCCTTCCCACTCCTCCCCTGCCCTTTCACGACCCCTATGTGCCCTCTGTTACTGTCACGGATTTATTGGCCCTGCCGTCTAACTTACTCTATTGTTACAGTTTTTGTTTATAAAGCGCCATGAGAGAACGCACTCTATAAATATAAGATAAGATTTTCCATGAGCCATGGTTATTATTTTTTATTATTCTGCTTGTTTGCCCAGAAATATCTCTCTTGTATGTATGTTGAAGTTCTTTTGCACCGTACATAACCAACTTGGTTGCAAGCATATTTTTGCAAGGTCCTGCCAAGTTTTGAGAGTAGAGGGCAACGCTGTTGCTTTGTGGTATTAATTGAGTAACTTCTCAGCATTGTGAAGTTTGGCCAATACCAGGGAGATTTAATGTTCTTTTAGCTGCCCGGTGCTTCGCTCGTTTTTGTGAGCTTCACTCCTCTGCCCTCCACTGTTGCTGGATGGCGACTGCCTCCAACTGCCCAGGAGCGTCCTTCATGAGCATCCTCCTTCACAGAGGCCAATCTTGACATTGCTGGTACCGGTCATCGACAAGTCCACTCAGCCCCACATCCTCATGTACCACATCAGCTCCGTCTCTTTTCTAGCCCATGCTATGCCCGTTTATCCCCCTCTATCTGGTCAAACAAAAGCTTATTGGGCATGCGTGGCACTGTGGATCACGCTGTAATGTTGCAAAGGCTAAAATTGCTACATGTTTCGGATTGTGCAATCAAGTGGATTCGCAACGACTTATCTCACCGATTTCAAATTGTGTCCATAATGGGGGACTGACAGGACCCCGAAAACTAAAGGAGTTCCTCAGAGCTCTGTGCTTGGCCCTGTTCTGTTTTCTTTCTATTTCAACAAGAAGGCATCTCCAATCTGCACTTTGACATTTACGTTTTTGCTGATGACACAGCCCCAGCATCTACAACAGGGCTTCGATGGACTTCAACTTAATGCCCTAAAACTGGTCCTCAACATTTACAATTTGCTGCATAGACATGCCTCTCGACATGTCAGCAAACGCCAATTAAGATAGCACTTTATTTCAAAATACTATTAAGGCCTTTAATTTTGACAAAGGTACATTTTTACAATTCAAAATTTAATTCAATATTTAGCCAGACACCTTCTGTTTGTCTGAAACATGGTTTACCTCACATATAAATCCTAGCCTAATGAAATTTACGGATATAATAATTTGTGATTAGACAATCAAGAGGAGGTGTGGTAGTATATGTGAAAATTGACCTACGTTGCATACAACTTTCTACTGTAATAAATCCGGGCTCTTTTGAATATATTATGGTCACAATTTATTCTCCAGTTAACCAACATTTTGCTCTGATGTGTTGCTATACACCGCCAAACAGTAAAATATCAAATCAATCTCTGGATTAGATAGAATCAAACATTATTTTCCCATTTGATGATGTCTGCAAATAGGTGAAGCTCTCATTGAATCACTCATTGACTACTGTGATGCTGCTTATAGATCCGATCCTAATGAATCATTAAACCGACTAAACCAGATTCATCATTATGCTCATCGATTTGCACTGGGTGGACCACACAGGACCCACCATTGTGACATCTAATTAAAAATCCAATCTCACTTTACTGGATCCAAGAAGAAATCTACAGTGGGCCCTGTTCATCCACAAAATCCTGATTGGCAAATCTACGCTGTACTGAGCTAATTCATTCATCCCATTGCCAAATCCAAGAAATCTAAGGCGTCCATCTAATTGCCTTTAACTATCCAAAGAACAAACATTGGAATAGGTGACAAAGCCCTTGCCATTGCAGCACCAACGTTTTGGAAAAAAAAAAAAAAAACCTTGTTTCCTTCGCATCATAAATATTACTTCAAAAAATATTCTGAAACCAGGCACGTTTCGTACACAAGGGGCGTTGGGGCGCTGCCCCACCAATCAGCTGGAGATGAGAAATATTTTTTCTACTACAAATACTTTTCTCTAAATTGTTTTGTTGTGTTGAAAAATATACATAAAATGATTCGTTCAACGTGAATTTCCTAATGAAGATAACATTTTAAGTTGTTTATATTAGAAACCGCTGCAACGCCACAGTCTGATTTGTGCCTCAGGGATATCTCGGGATGGCTGTGAAGGCGTCCGAGTGAGGGCTATCTCTTCATTCATTGCGATTAGTTTCTAGAATTTTATCCACACCGTTTGAGACCCATTCAGGGTGGTGAAAATGGCGCCCATGGCTCTAATGATGATGTCACAACGCTAGGTTGCACTGTGCAAATGTAGCAGGTCACGGCCTACACATAGGTGGGTGTATGACGGTATGTGGCTGTTATTGTACAGTATGCGGTGTCTTGGTTTCCTGGGCTAATTCGTTGAGTCGTGTCAGCTGATCTTTAATTGTACTTTAGGCTTTTGGCAGTGTCAAAGTCTGTATTTTGCACGTGGAGATCAATCGACATATTCTGATTGAGTATGGTGCTGAGGCTCTTTAGATGAGTAGAAAACTGCATCCTGGAGTCTGCGACCACCACACCTGGTGGTCGAGCACGCTGATACACCAGCGTGCTCGTGTCCCGTGGTGGAATAATGCCTTTGATCAACGCCTTTGGTCAACCCTAACTTTTACACTCGAACTCTATAATCTATTATCTAGAACCTATAACACTATAAACTATGACACTTTCATCATGTGCTTCTATTAGGATATTTTATCTCCTAGTTAAATAAAGTTTAAGTTGATTTTTGTTTTTATCGGGTGAGAACTCAAGATTTCGAGAGAGTCTTATTTTCTTTGGTTCTTTCGGTAAAGTCACGTAGAATGAGAATAAAATAATAAATTGATAAAATAAAATAACACAATAATATTCTCACGACGTTTCAGCTAGTCACTAGCTAATCACTCAGTTATTTCAATGCTAAATTCGCCTAGTTATTTCAATGCTAAATTCTCCTGTTTGATTTGTACTAAGTGCCTCGGTGAATGTGTATGGTCTGACTTTAACGTAGCTATTTCTGTGAGCAGTTACAAGCTAATCACTCAGCTATTTCAATGCTAAATTCTATGCTAATTCCATTGTCAAGGGGTGCCTCTGCGGATGTGTATGCTTTAACTTAGCTATTTCAATGCTAAATTCTATGCTAATTCCATTGTCAAGGGGTGCCTCTGCGGATGTGTATGCTTTAACTTTTAACATAACTATTTCTGTGACCAGTCACAAGCTAATCATTCAGCCATTTCAATGCTAAATTATATGCTAATTCCTTTGTCAAGGCGCTTTGTTCCTCTCACACAGCTTAAAAGGCCGTGATCTGAACGTGGCTCTTTCACTCCAGCGCTGTCCTACCAGACAGTCTCGTCCCTTCACCTGATGAAGGCCGCTTGTGTTGTGGCCAAAACGTCGTGAGAATATTATTATTTTATTTTATCAATTTATTATTTTATTCTCATTCTACGTGACTTTACCGAAAGAACCAAAGAAGATGAATCATTGCAGTCACGAAAGCTTTAAATCGAAATTTAGAGTCTTATTTGTATGAGCGGCCTGGGTCAAAAGAATTACGAAATAAAAGAATAAAGCACAGCAACGAAGAAAATAGGAATCAGCACGAAGACAGCCACGTCACACGATAAATTAAACACACTGCACGAACATAAATTAATGCAAAGTAATAAACTCCCTGCAGCACAAGGTCGTCTTGTATATATTATACTTATACTGGTCTTACCATCTCACCGATAGCGAATGTTTTTAAGTTATTCAGTAAAATTAAGTGAGCATCTTGGCTGGAGGCACGAGATATGAACATTTTTCTTATAAAGTTGAATTGAAATTTTTTGTTCACATTTCAAGCACTCGTCACCATAATGATTCAATTTCCTGTAGATTTATTAGGGATTTAGTGACGGATGACAATTCTACGGAGTTGGCCTCACAGGGAGAGTCACAGACTCCACACGGTGGAGGTCACAGGGTCACAGAGCTGACACGCGGTACCTGCACGTCCCTGCGAGTGGCCTCCATCCGTTCCACAGACCCCTCAGCCTCACTCCTCTTCTTCTCCACCGCTCGCGTCTCCTCTCTGACTCCACTCTGTAAGAGACAAAGTCACCAGAGGAGACTCCACTCCCTGAGTGACCCCCTCTCATGCCCACTCCACACGGAGCCACTCCACAGTGGTGGCCCTGAAATGCCCACCAGAAGAGTGGTCAGGAAGTCAGACTAGACTGACTGACGAGTATACAATGCAAGAGACCACAGAGAGGGAATCAACTCATGGTGATGTTTGTTTTATGAGATGTTTCTATTAATCCCAGTAACACTGATTATTTACATGGCTCATTGTTATGCGCAGTGATGGCTTTTACCAGCTCGTGTGTGGTATCATTCACTCCTGAGTGGTTCTCACTCCCTGAGGGCCTCACCATCCGTATCTCATGCACATCCTCCAGTGTGTTGACATCATGCCCTCTATGGTGCCCTGCGATTGTGCAGACTGTGCAGATCAGGCTTTCGTCCTGCTTGCAGAAGAACCTGTAGGGGTCTCCATGCTGCTGGCATCTTCGCTCCTCCAGGCTGACAATGGGAGCCACCAGGACGTGGTCCATCAATCTCGGGTTGTTCAGGTGAGGTTTCAGGTGAGAGTCACAGAAGGAAGTCTCACACCTTAGACAGGTCTTCACTGCAGGAGTCTCTCCATCACCACAGGTGTCACAGAAGACAACTGCGGCCATCCTCTCTCCAACTCTGAGCTGCTCCACCAGGTTGGCGAGCGCCACGTTCCTCTTCAGCTGGGGCCGCTCAGGGAAGGCCGCTCGGCACTGCGGGCAGCTGAAGCTGCTCGCTCTCTCCCAGGCACCGTCCAGACACCGGAGGCAGAACGAGTGTCCGCAGCTCAGCGTGGAGGGGCACTCAAACGTGCCCAGGCAGATGGGGCAGCTCAGCTCACTGTCTACACAATCACTGGGAGATGCGCTCGCCATAGCTTTACTCGGACTCAGTTGCTCGCCGCGGCTCACGGAGGAGCAATCGCAGCAGCAGCTCACACAGGGGAGACGAACAAGGAAATTGAACTTTACTTCACCTGCAGTTAAGTTATAAATACCTTTAGACACGCCCTGGAATGTTCCACACGGTGGCCGTGCTCACCTGTGTAGACGTGGCGTTATAGACACGCACTGTTATAGCTAAAACTGATTTTTGTGATTAGTTTGTTGTCCTTCCCCTGCACTTCGAATTAGCATGGCTGGCTACGTATGCTGTGAAAGAAGTTCAACATACATACATAGCTTTGACTGGTCTCAAGTGATATAATATTTCTACAAACAAAACCCAGCAGCAGCATCAGCCAGGCACACAGCGATAATGGTTTGTCCCACAGGCTGATTGACCGGCTCGGGTCAGGATGTGTGCATTGCACACAGTGGAACCGCACCTTGTACAGACATTCTGATGTAAAGATTAACTTGTTTTTTTCCCATCTGTGTCTTTTTCCATTTTTTTCTTGCAAGGCCTGTTTGTTTAAGCTTCAAAGTCTGTAATCGTTTTCAACCTTTGTCAACTAATATTTAACTACTGGCTTCATGCGACCTATGTTTATCTGTGAAATATTTTTTTGGTTATTTATTCCTACGACACCGTTTTATTCTGGGTGGATGGTGGTTGTATGTATGCTAATCGTAGGTGTGTAGGTGGGCGAGTGGGTTAGTGTGTGGGCGAGTGGGTGAGTGGTTGGGTGAGTGGGTGGGTGAGTGGGTCAGTATATATGTTGAACTTTTTTCGCAGCGTACGTAGCCACTCGTGCTAATCGAAGGTGCAAGTGGGTGGTGGTGGAGGTTGAGTGAGTGGGGGGTTATTTGGTGAGAGGGGAGACAGATGGGCAGGAGGATGGCGTGAAGGGTGGACGAGCAGGAGGTGATGGAGGGAGGAAGGGTGGCTGGGAGGGCGTGCGGTTGAGTGCTTGGGTTCCTGGGTGGGTGGCCTCACGCATTACCACAGCGAACAACCCCTAGATAAACAAACATCGTCGTTCATTTAAGCTCGTTATCGACATGACTTTCACTGTATATTTTCCTATTATGTAAAAAAGAGGTTTTAAATCTTCATAAAATAATGATATTTTCATCACCTATTGTTAATGTTAACATTTTACATCTTGGACTCGCTGAGTTTGGCGAGTTCTATATATATTTAAAAAATGACTTGGCCACAAAAGATAGCTCAACGACAACGTGGTTTATTACGTTAACATTTCTAGCAGCCAAACACTCTAAACGCACGTTTCTAAGTGTGTGTGGTGGGGGGGAATTGGAGGACCCGGAGAGAAATCCAAGCTACCATGGAGAAAGAGACATGCAAACTCCAAGTACACGTATAGGCGTCAGGGTCGGGATCGAACCCATGCCCTCCCGTATACCAAGCGAAATAGTTAACATCTTCCAGCCACCACAGCGAAATGTAAGTAATCGCAGCGAGATATAAAAATAATAACAGAGCAACGACAACAAGGAAACGAACTGATTTCACCTGCAGATAAATTATTAACACCTCGAGACGTGCCCTGGAATGTTGCACGCGGCAGCCCGTACTCACCTGTGTAGGCGTGGCGTCACATTCACACACACACAGTGTCAAGGTTAAAGAGTCGCAATTGATATATTTTTACAAAACCCCCACGGTAACCATGAAAAAGATGATGGTTTGTCTTACAGACTGGTTACACCGGCTTGGGTGAGTCTGGGGTTTTCACGGTAAACCGCACCGTGTAAATTCTTATTTAAGCTTTTAAATTGTCGGCTTTCGCGACCAAAATTCTTCATTAAACGTGTTTTTGGGTTAGATCGCATAAATATAAACGTGTCGTTAATCCGCCACCACGCGACACATCCAATGAGTACAGTTTGTCACGTAAACAAAAACACATTTCGGCTCGGGTGAGCTGTAAGTTCGTATTTAATGTAAAAAACAGATTCCCCTATAAGCAAGGAGTTCAGAAACCAAAATAACAAAGAAATATTTTTTCTTGTTTTTTACAGTTCGTAAAGTTAAATAAAAAAAGACCATCTAATTATTTCAAGAGCCCCAATGCAACTCGGTGTGAGTCCGAGAGACGGTGGTGGTGGTGATAAAAACGTCTCACGAAGCAGCCGTCTCTCAAAGAGCCACACGCCGCTTCGGAGCCGCAGGTGGCAGACCCCGTGCCCTGAACCAACTGGCGTGGCCGGCAGAAATAATAATTTAATAAATATAATTTAATTGGACATTCATAAAAATGACAAAGATTTAGCGATTTTTTTTACATTTTTATCTATGAACATTTTAATTATTAAATAAGTTTCCTACTGTCACTTAAATAATAGAACAATAATATTGTAATACTTTGATGATAATAATGCAAAATGATAATAAATTTATGATGATTTAATAATTTTTCGGTAATGGTAATTTAATAATATAATTTATATTTACATTTACTAAACGCCCTTTAACAATTGCTCTCGGGGTGCTATGCATGGTAAAGCAGAAAATAGTAAACATCACCCAAGGAAAGAAGTGAGAAGGACATTTGAACATCACTAAAGGGAGAAAGACATTTTAAACAGACGGCTTTAGTGGAGATGTGAAGATGAGCAGCGTCTCGGAAGTCCACTTGACCTCGAAGGGCAACGAGTTCCAGAGTTTAGGTGCCGCGATTGCCAAAGCACCGTCACCCCCCACGTGTGTAGCCTGGAGACCGTGGGACAGTGAGCAATGCACAAGCTGAGGATCTTGACGATCTTGATGGAATATTCGTGGCTGAAGGAGGTCATGAATGTAGTGAGGAGCAAGTCCATTTAAGGCGAAGGCGAGTCGGTTGGCGCTGCCTTTTTCACGTTTGTGTCATTGCCGCTTCCTTCTGCGAGGATCTGTGTTTACGCTTTGCAGTTCTTTCTTGGTCTCATTCTCTCCTTCTGAAAATCTGAGAAACGGGTTTATTCCTGGGGGAGATGTTATCCCTGGTGCAAGGCCGATGGTGAGCAGTGTATGTCGATGGTGAGTGGTGTGTGGATGGTGAGTGGTGTATGGTTGGTGAGTAGTGTGTGAATATCAGGTGGTGAGTAATGTGTGGATGGTGAGTGGTGAGTAGTGTGTGGATATAGAGTGATGAGTAGTGTGTGGATGGTGAGTAGTGTGTGGATGATGAGTGGTGAATATATTTTTTATCAAGGCTCACAGACTTGAAACAATTATTTAACACGTAATCTTTCGCGACCATGAAGAAACAATTATTTTTAATTACTTTACACGGGGTTACAAACCTCACGAGGCACCCCATGGAATGTGCTCAGATGTTTGAGGAATGTAAAACAAGCCCCGCATCACACAAACCTGTCTAGATGTACCTGTAGATTCGCGCCGTTGGCTTTAACCAGTGCCAACAATGGACTTTGTAAGAACATGATCACAATCGTGAAAATAACACATCCTGAGATGCGGGCTTTCGATTCCAAGCAGTCGCCTGTGATTAAGCGTGGTTCTCCGGTGAAAGGAGTTGATGGTTTAAGGGTATAGAGTCGCAATTTATTTATCTTTACAAAAACCCCACGGTAACCAGGAAAAAGGTGATGGTTTGTCCTACAGGCCGTACACCAGATTGGGTGAGGCTGTGTTTTTCCACTGTCAACCACACTGTGTAAATTCTTATTCAAGATTTCAAATTCTAAGTAGGATTTAGCGACCAATATTATCCATAAAACGTGTTTTTGGGTTAATCGCGTAAATATAAAAGTGTCGCTAAACCCGCCACCACCAATGAGTAAAGTTTGTCACGTAAACAAAACATTCCGGCTAGGGGGAGGCTGTGCGTTTTGTCCTGCAAACCACACCACTGTAAGTTCCTATTCAAGGTTAACAAAAAAAGATTCCCCTCGACCAGGGGGGTCGCCAACCAAAACAACAAGGAGAGACATTTTTACTTATTTGTTTTACAAACCCGTAAGTAAAATAAAAACCAACCAACTCATTATTTCAAGAGCCGCAATGCAACGTGGTGTGAGTACTAGAGATGGTGCTGGGCCTTGATAAATAATAACGTGGCGTGAGTATGAGAGACGGTGGTGGTGATAAATAATAACGTGGCGTGAGTACGAGAGACGGTGGTGGTGATAAATAATAACGTGGCGTGAGCACGAGAGACGGTGGTGGTGGTGGTGGTGATAAATAAAAACGTGGCGTGAGTATGAGAGACGGTGCTGGTGGTGGTGGTGATAAATAAAAACGTGGTGTGAGTATGAGAGACGGTGGTGGTGGTGATAAATAATAACGTGGTGTGAGTATGAGAGACGGTGGTGGTGGTGATAAATAAAAACGTGGTGTGAGTATGAGAGACGGTGGTGGTGGTGATAAATAATAACGTGGTGTGAGTACGAGAGACGGTGCTGGTGGTGGTGGTGATAAATAATAACGTGGTGTATGAGAGACGGTGGTGGTGGTGATAAATAATAACGTGGTGTGAGTATGAGAGACGGTGGTGGTGATAAATAAAAACGTGGTGTGAGTACGAGAGACGGTGGTGGTGGTGATAAATAATAACGTGGTGTGAGTACGAGAGACGGTGCTGGTGGTGGTGATAAATAATAACGTGGTGTGAGTACGAGAGACGGTGGTGGTGGTGATAAATAATAACGTGGTGTGAGTACGAGAGACGGTGGTGGTGGTGATAAATAATAACGTGGTGTGAGTATGAGAGACGGTGGTGGTGGTGATAAATAAAAACGTGGTGTGAGTATGAGAGACGGTGCTGGTGGTGGTGATAAATAATAACGTGGTGTGAGTATGAGAGACGGTGGTGGTGATAAATAATAACGTGGTGTGAGTACGAGAGACGGTGCTGGTGGTGGTGATAAATAATAATGTGGTGTGAGTATGAGAGACGGTGGTGGTGATAAATAAAAACGTGGTGTGAGTACGAGAGACGGTGGTGGTGGTGATAAATAATAACGTGGTGTGAGTACGAGAGACGGTGCTGGTGGTGGTGATAAATAATAACGTGGTGTGAGTACGAGAGACGGTGGTGGTGATAAATAATAACGTGGTGTGAGTACGAGAGACGGTGGTGGTGGTGATAAATAATAACGTGGTGTGAGTATGAGAGACGGTGGTGGTGGTGATAAATAAAAACGTGGTGTGAGTATGAGAGACGGTGCTGGTGGTGGTGATAAATAATAACGTGGTGTGAGTATGAGAGACGGTGGTGGTGATAAATAATAACGTGGTGTGAGTACGAGAGACGGTGCTGGTGGTGGTGGTGATAAATAAAAACGTGGTGTGAGTACGAGAGACGGTGGTGGTGGTGATAAATAAAAACGTGGTGTGAGTATGAGAGACGGTGGTGGTGGTGATAAATAAAAACGTGGTGTGAGTATGAGAGACGGTGCTGGTGGTGGTGGTGATAAATAAAAACGTGGTGTGAGTATGAGAGACGGTGCTGGTGGTGGTGGTGATAAATAAAAACGTCTCACGAATCAGCCGCACGCCGCTCCGGAGCCGCAGGTCGCCGACCCCGTGACCTGCACCAACTGGCGTGACCGTCAAGTAATAATAATTTAATTAGTATTATTTTATTATAATGGTATTAACACGTAGGCTTTCGCGACCAATATTATTCATAATAAAGGTTTTTGGGTTAGATCGCGTTTATTTATAAATGTGTCGTAACCCTCCACCACCC